TTCAAATGCTGACCACAAATAAGTCTAATAGCATCCATCATCACCCATAAGTTACACATTTTTTCTGTGATGAGAACTTTTGAGATCTTTCTTAGCAACTTTCAAATGTATAATACAGCATTGTTAACTACAGTCACCATACTGTACTGTCCTTGTCTTTAAGATATCATACCTCTTTCTAATCAGCCCCTTTAACTTTCCTGACTTCTTTCCCTTCCCCAGGCCATACTTGATTTCCCTTACCTGCTTTCTCCTACATTAAAATGTGAGGGGTGGGAGCAGGGTGGAAGGGGTAATATGATTTCTCTGGGACCACACTTCCACCTAGATGGCCCCACTAACCAAGTCTTTCATCTTGTGATTGACCTTTTAATTCCATTCAATAGTCAACTCCCTACTTAACATTTAATTTCTTAACCTTGGTTCTCTCAGAGTTAACATCTTAACTTTATTTATTTATTCTGTTACCTCATTCACATAAACGGTAAGCTATAATGGGAACCAGGGGAAACGTAGGCAGAGGAAGGCAAGAATCCTGAGTTTTATTTTTTCTTTTCTCTTCTTGATTCAGGAAAACATGACAGAAGAAACCTACATACATTTGGATAAGCAGCTATTTGAACTCTTTCTGACCCTCAGCCAGTGCCTGGGCAGCGTGGAGGAGCTGCTGCAGACACCTGGGCTCTGCAGAGAGGATGTTGGTGCCCAGCAGGTGTTCTACGAGGTAGGGAACTTCCAGACGCCCATGTGCTGGCCATTGCCGTAGTCAGCCCACGAGGTAAGCCGGAACTGCAGCCCCTGGCACTCGGGGCTCACTCACTGTCTTCCTGCCTCTCCACTTTGCAGACACTGGCTCTCGAGCTGAAAAAACTGTACTTAGCTCTGAGTGACAAGAAGAAGGATCTTTTGAAAGCTATGACTTGGCCTGGAAGGACCGCCAACTTGTTCCCTGCATGTTTTGAAAACCTGCAAGTTTACCTGGAGCACACGCAGGCTGCCACTGCATCCAGGAGCAAGTCCCTGAAAGCTGGCCTCGACTATAATCGCAGTTACCAGGTACGGGTCTCGGCACTCAGCCCATGTCGGCACTATTTTAGGTTACAGCATGGACCCCCAACTCCCATTAATTCCTAGTCCTGGTGGTGGTCGTGAATAGGAATTGCTAAGGAAAGCGGCGCGGTTGTCTTTCTATGAAGGTCTTTTAGTTCTGCTGCTCATGGTTGGAGACCATTCAAAAGCCAGGAGCTTTCCAAAGTCTTGGGTATGACTTTTTATTGAGTTAACATACTGTTTCTTTCCTGTATTGCACTCAGCCACTCAATGAGTGTCGTGTGAGAGGACTTCTCGGTAAGAGGGAGCCAAGAAAGTTTCTGAGCAAAGAAATGACAGTTCATGTATGTTTCAGGTAGACTCACCTGGCAGTTGTCTAATGTGGATTGGAAGAGAGATTTGAGGCAGGTTGATTGGTTAGGAAGTTACTAAAATTGTCTAATGAAAAAAAAAAAAGAAACACAACACCACTTATGAAGGAGTTTTACCAATAAAATCAGCCCTGAATCTGATAAGCCTCTAGAATTTAAGTAAAAGACGCAAGGGAAGAACGTGTTAGATGTCACCGTGAGTGTAGTCAGCCTAGTCCAGACATTGGGAAGCTGCACAGAATACATAAAATCCAAGAAACAGGAGAGAGAGAGGGGTGGGGAGCCTGCCAATTATAGGACACTTGAGACATCTGTGATCCATTGCAACCTATTGGGCATCATGTAGATCCCAATTCAAAAAAAACAAAACAAAAATGATTGGCAGTTAGAGAAATGTGAACCCTGTCTAGACTGTTAATAATACTAAGGAATGATTATTATTGATTTGTGGGATTTTTAAAGGAAGGAACCTTTATCTTTTAGAGGTACATACTGACACATATACTGGTGAAATACTATGATATCTGGGATTTGCTTCAAAATAATCTGAGGGGAGGGGTTAGGTAGAGTCAAGAGAGCGCCAGGGAGATAGATACAGTCGTTGTTAAAGTGGGATTGTGGTGATGCAGGGAGCTCTCTATTGTGGTATATGTTTGAAATTTCTGATGGCCAAAACTTAAAAGACAACTAAATTTTTTTAAAAAAAGGAATAGAAAGGCCTGAGTGAAATTCTCACTGTTTCTTGCATTTATCTTTTTGTACAGAATGAAATAAAGCGATTATATGATCAACTGATTAAGAATAAAACATCTTTACAACAGTCTTTGAATGAAATTAGTGGCCAGAGTATTGATGAACAGCTTCAGGTAATCAAGTCAAAATCATTCCGACTGACCTCACCTCGGGCCAGAGTCTTGTGTCTGAGCTGTGCTTCTGAGCCACTTCCCTCTGTGAGCCGTGGCCAGGCTTCAGTAAATAAGAATGAAAATACTTATGCGGACCTATGGAAGCATCTCTTAATAGTCCTTTACGGAGTGTAAATCAAAACAACAGGCCATTGTCACCTGTCAGCTGGGCAAAATGTTAAGTGTGTGCAGTGTTGGGAAATGCGCCCTCGCCCTGTTGGTAGGAGTGCTGGACTGTATTAGAATTTTCAGTGTAAATGCCCTTCCATCCAGAAGCAGTTCCATTTCACTCATTAATTCAGCAAGTGTTAACCGAGGACCTACTGTGTTCAGGCACTGCTCTGGGTGCCGGAATGCATTTATCTGACGGAAATACGTGCATAAAGGTAAGTGTGTATGTAAATATTCAAGGATGGACCAAGCGGCACTGCTTGAGTCAAAACCTCTAAATAGCCCACAAGCCCATGGAGAGCAGACTGTGCAGCCTTTCAAAGGCAAACCACGTGTCTGTTTAAAGGAGCCAGGCACGTTTGTACTGATTTGAGGACATGCTGAGGATCTGATGAGTGAGTTGTGCAAACGGCAGAACAGAATGATGTGTGCAGCTCGGCGCGTTTAAGGACGGGCACTGTACCCCTACGGTCCGTGCGTTAGAAACAAACTGAACTGTGGATCTTTGGGGAGGGCTGGAGAGGAGGGAGGGAAAGCGGGACTTCCACTTTCCCTTAACTCTTTCCTGTTGAAGTTTTTAATAAATGCGTGTGCTTCTCTAACTTACTTTAAATGTTTTCTTTTTTGCATTGTCTCTTTAGAAAGCAGATGCCTATACCGCGGAGCTGCGGAACTCTGAGAGCCGAGTAGCAAAACTCAGGGCCGAGGGAGAGAAGCTTCACCTACCTTATGCTCTACTCCAGGAGGTTTACAAACTAGAGGTGTGTCCGAGCAGAAAACATCCACGCAGTGAATTACTAGGATTATTTATAAGGATTATTTACTAGGATTATTTATGAGATTTTTTTTCTCCCACCAAGGGAGTTCAGATTTGTGGTTCGTTTGGTTATTTTCATGGTTGGATGAAATGTTTGGGCCCCCCTGCTCTTCCTTTTCAGGATGTGCTGGACAGTATGTGGGGTATGCTGAGAGCCAGGTACGCGGAACTCGGCAGCCCTTGCGTCACTGAGAGCCAGCAGGACGCTTTGTTGCGAGGCTTGGAGGAGCTGGTGACCATCGGGAAGGAAAAGCTTGCTCGTGACCACTTAGAGCAAACCAAAAGCAAAGGTGCCTTACAGGCTCAGATACAGAATCACAAGGTGAGACACGCGGGCGGAGCGCCGTTTCACAGACGCGGTTTTCCTGAGTGGGAACCGCGCGCATCCATTTTCTTCCGTGGGGAAATAGGTATCGTTCCTTCGTTCTTTTAGCAAGCAGCCATGGAAGGCTCGTTGCGTACCAGGAGCCCTGCTAACCTCTAAGAATATGGTGTGAATGAAGCAGATGCAGCTCCTTGCATTTGTGGAGCTTTCCATTGACTGAGAAGACAATTTATTAAGGAGCCATGCAGACAGATTTAAAATTAAAATTGGGATACATGCCTTGAGAGCATTTAATAGAGGAAATTTAACTCAGGAGATTAGACAAGGCTTCCTGGGAATTGAAATCTAAATAAACATTATTTAAATATATAAATGTATAACTAGTGTGATGTTACAGCAAACCAGTGATTTTCAACCAGTGGTGAAGCGTGCAGTGTGTGACTATTCAGTCAGGGGCACCGACCTCTTTTCCCTTGAATTGTGATTGTCAAATAACAAATGACAACAGCCAACACAATCGCTGTCTGGTGTGAATGAATCAAAATTATATCTTTTTTTTTTTTTGGTCAGATTGGCAAAAAAACATATTTTTTGGTGTGCTGCGGAATTTTAGCAATAGTTTATGTGTGCAGTGAGATGGAAAAGGTTGAAAATTGCTGCAATACACCCCTTTGTTTTCCATTCATTTCATTAAACAAAACCTCACCAACCAAAAACATGCAGTGATTTAAATATTGGTAATAAAAACTGTAAGACGTTCCTACCTTCAACAAGCTTAAGTCAAGGCCTTTGATAAGTAGACCTTAGTCTAAGAAATTCAAAGGTAAAGATGTATAAAAGGATGGAAGAGAAGAGGAGAAAATAATATCAGTTGATGGGCCCTGTGCTGTATGAACCCTCCATGTGTCCTGCACAAGGAATGGGAGAAGGGGTTCACATAGAGGCTCCTCCAGACGATCAGAGAGGACAGCTGATGTAGCTGGAGAGGGACCACGTGAAGGGAAGCTTTCCCCTTTCAAGGCTCTGAAAGGGCCATTCTGGGAGCTGTTAGGTACCAGGATCCCCAAAGATCCCGTCAGCAAATTCCCTTTATGTTGCCATTTTACTGAGTAGAAGTTAAGAGTCAAGTTTAGGAACCCCAGCTGTTGACTATGTGGGCTCCCTGAGCTAACACAGCTATCCCTACAACTTATTGTCTTAAAATTAATCAGCCACATTATCACCTACCTTCTTGTAAAGTTCCTTAAACCTTAGAATAACTGATTTAGGAAGATCTGGCTGGAAATTGAAATTAAGTAATTAATAATGTTTGGCCGTTAACATGGACTATTTTGTGGAAAATATTACTAGGGTGATTTTTCTTTATAATTTGTTAAAATGTCAGTGTTCAAAAACTAAGGGATACATAGTCAGTTTCCTTGTGTGTTTTAGTCTACATGGCTAACCTGGGATTGTGGGTTAAAAAAGCAAATATAACAGTATAAGAAGTTAAAGTAGCCCTGGCCGATGTGGGTCAGTGGTTAGAGCATCAGCCTGCAAACCTTAGGTTTGAGGGTTCAATTCCTGGTCAAGGGCATGTACCTGGGTTGCAGGTTCAATCCCTGGCCCTGGTCGGGATGCATGTGGAAGGCCACCAATTGATGTATCTCTCTCACATAGATGTCTCTCTCTCTCTCTCTCTCTCCCTCTCCCTCTCCCTCTCCCTCTCCCCCCCCCCCCCGCCCCCTCCCTTCCACTCTCTCTAAAGAAAAATCAATGGAAAAAATATCTTTGGGTGAGGATTAACAACAACAACAACAAAAAAGTTAAAGTAATTTGCTTTGTAAGATTTCATGTTGCTTGCCAGAACCGGTTTGGCTCAGTGGATGGAGCGTCGGCCTGCGGACTGAGGGGTCCTGGGTTCGATTCCGGTCAAGGGCATGTACTTGGTTGCGGGCACATCCCCGGTGGGGGGCGTGCAGGAGGCAGCTGATCCGATGTTTCTCTCTCATCGATGTTTCTGGCTCTCTATCCCTCTCCCTTCCTCTCTGTAAAAAAATCAATGAAATATATTTGAAAAAAAAAAAAAAGATTTCACGTTGCAGAAATAAATATTAAAACCTTCTCCATTTTACAGCTTTTTTTCCAGAAGCTTGTTGCTGACATGCTGTTAATCCAAACTTTCTCCAGCAAAATGCTTCCTTCTTTATTGCAAAAGAAAGAGACATCTTGGGCAGAACAAGTACAAGAAGTTAAATTACTAGAAGAAAAGGCATGCCAATGTGGAATAAAGCAGCAGAGTTTGTTGCAGGTATTTGGGTTACATACATTTTGTACTTGAAAAGCTGGGAATTCCGGATTGTCAGCCACCGCCTCCAGGTGTCAAAAACAAATGTCATTAGGCAGCAATTAAATAG